CTTGGCTTTCTGTGTGTGCTGGGACTGAGTGCTGACTCAGCACCGGGCCAGCCACCAGCCGCGCCAGGTCAGATCTGTCGACCTGCCTTCGGCCCAGTCTCCTGGACGTGGTCCCAACCTTGCTTGCTGAGTGCCAAGTTGGGGTCAAGGACGGCGCACCCAACTACTGGTGCCCCTGTCCGGGCTGCAAGGGACAAAAGAAGAGGTTCAGCGAGGACGCCCTCACGCAGCACCTGAGCCAGGCCACCCGAGCTCGTCCCAGTTTGAGGCGTGGGACCGAGAAAGCAAGAGTAACAACTATGTGCGGCCGGCTATGCCCAGCGTGGTTGGCCAGTGGGCACACTACGTGGATCTACCTCCCCGAGGAGCCGGACTACTCCAAGCACGTGGAGGCCCGAAAACCGGACAGCCGGAGGGTGAAGAAAGTGAGGAGGAGACCAAGAGACAGACGAGGAAGAGCAGCACAGCCCGTCGGCTGAAGAAAGCTCAGAAGAGGCTGCGGCAGGGACCCCCGGAAGGGCACCCCTGCAAAGGTGGAGCCCGATAGGAACGTGTCCTCGCACAAGTACGGCTCCTCAAAGAAGCGGTCCTCTTCCACCTCACCTTCGGCCAGGAAACGGAAGGAGCCCTTGCGTGCAGCGACACCGGCGCCCTCGCGTAGCCCGAAGCCGCTCTACTTGCCACCGCACAAGCGCGAACTGAAGGCCAAGTCAAAGCCTCTCCCTTACGACCCCAAGACGACAAGGCCGGCTCAACCTGAAGGCCCTCCTCCGAAGGTCCGTGGCAGTTCGAAACCTCCTGAGCCTGAGCGGCCGCCTCAGGAACGTAGGGGACGCTCGCGCTCCCCTCTACAGAGACGGCCCGTAATCAAGACGAAGGTCAAGGAGAATGAGAAGGAGGCAAAGGAGCCGGAGCCCTCGACCGAGAAGTACGTGCCCCCGCACCGTAGGACCGAGGCTAAGGAGGCCACCAAATCGGAACCCTCAACAGAAAGGTACGTACCGCCGCACAAGAGAGCCAGGCAGGAGGTCCCAGCGTCGTTCGGCGCGGGACCCGGCCTACGGCGTCACAAGCGCGGCTCGGTCCGTCCTTTTGGGCGAGATGCTCCAGTCTCGTGTGAGCAGGCGCGAAGACCTGCAGAAGGCCCTCGACAATATGACAGCTGACGACCCGGCGCGTGAGAACACAGAAGCTGAGCTTCAGGAGCGGGGCGCTGTCATCAAGAACCTCAAGGAGGAGCAGACGGCCACGCAACGGGGCACAAAGGCTGGGCACAGTAGCCGACAGGAGCGGGACAAGCCGGAGATGGCAAGAGAGCTGAGAAGCACCGTCTGAGCACGCAGCAGGAGAGAGAACTGA